AAAAAACAAACAGTTATTTATTAAAAAGAATATTTACTTGTTAAAAAAATGCAAATATGTAACAATTTTTAAACCAATAGAAATTAATTTTGTGTGACTTTTTGGAAAGGGGGTAATCGCAAATATCACAAAATTTAGCCAGTGAAATCAAATGTCCATTATGCTAAATAATACAAGAAAAAAAAATTTTTTTAAAATTTTAAAAAATGGCGACAATCGAAAAAATCGAAGAGCAGTTAAAAAAGGCAGAAGGAAACCATGAAGAGGCGAAAAGAAAGTTGGAGGAGTTTGAGGAAGGGGAAGATGACAGGAAACGGCTGAAAAAGTTGAAGATTGAAGTGAGAAAATTGAATAATCAAATAAGATGTGGAAAAGATGAAAAAGAAAAGAAAATTTTGGAGGGGGAGAAGGAAGATTATGAAGGTGAAATAAAAGATTTGGAGAAGAAAGAAGAGAAATTGGAGGCGGAGAAGAAGAAGTGGGGAGACCAGGTGATAAATTTGCAGAATGCGTTGATTGAATTTGGTAAAGGTGAAGGTAATGAAAATATACAAAGAATTATTTTTTTTATAATAATTTAATTTCAATTCTTTTTAATAATAAAAAATATGCATTTAGGTGCAATCAAACGTAAAGTTGATGAAATTGCTTTTGAATATTCCAAACTTAAACTACATTATTTTTGTGCCTTATATATTCTCTTCTTTCATTTGCACTATCAGAGCTAACGGAACAAGAACTTTTCCGAGTAGTTATTCCCACCCCTGAACTTCTTTCAATTAAGACAAAGACCACAACAAAGGCAGCAACAAGGAAAGTTCCTAATCAACCAGTTCTGATCTGGAATGACTTTCTTGCTAATGCCTTTAATGCATCAACAACTCTTGACACAAGCAACTGTATATTTAGCAAGCCTGACATCGATGGTGCTTTATATGTTGAAGATTCTGCTGTTGATATGTTTTTGAATACGATGGCTGCTATTAACAATAAAAGATTAATTCTTTTACACAGACCAGAAAGTTGGGGTAAGCATTATATGTTTCAAGGAGTTAAAGGTCAACCAGATGCAATACGCTGTAGTGCTGATAATAAAACCCTCTTGAAAAATTTAAAAGCCTCTCAGATACTTTCAATAGTAGAAGTTAAACCTGAACAGTTAATGAGAAGTTTGATAAAAGATGGAGCTGAATTGTCTGAGGCATATAACACAGCATTGACAGTGGATGATGATGGAACAACAGAATATAATAGGCATCAAAAAATTATTAGAATCATTAGACAAATATTTGGATATATGGTTGTTAATGACCTACAATATGGCTTGCTTACAACATACATTCGAACATGGTTTTTTTACTGTCAATCTCGAAATCCGGACATAATTTACATTTCTCCTGCAGTTTATATCAATCAGGGCCACACAGATAATTATGCCTCGTTCTCTGAATGTGTACGTTATTTTGAAAATATATCTACAACAGACTCATTTGCACATTCTTCACCACCTAATACTGAAGACAATGACAATTTTGGTGGTGATGATGGTGAAGATACTATTAGTGATGATGACAAGGATGATGGAAAGGATGATGGGCCATCAGGTTCTAAGAAAAAGGGTGTTTTTAAGAATGCTTTGAGGGTATTCACTCGTAGCATGTCAAAAAAAGGTAAAGAAACAGCAATTAGCAATGATGAACTTCTGAAAAACATGAAAAATTATAAACGTAACCAAATTTCTTTTGGTGATTTGTTGGGAGGTGGTCGATCTGGTGCTGTTTTTACAGCCAAGTTTTATGAAAAAATAGGTGTTCTTAAAATGGTTGACTTGTATAAAAAGGAGTATCTGGTAACTGAAATGCTAAATGAAATTAAAATCTACCTTGGACCTCTTGTGGACATCCAGGAAATTTTCATACCAAAGCTTCTAAAATATGGAGTTCTTCATGAAGCTTTTGTATTTATTTTTATTCCATTTGCCGGAAGATCTTTTGCAGAGCTAGGAAATAATGTCACAAAAGAAGAGAAGAAGTTGGCTATTTTGGGCTTACAAGCAATACATGCAAGAGGGGTAATGCATGGAGATGTCAGATTAGAGAATGTAATGGTAAAGAGAGATGGATTGGTGGGTAAGACTCTTGTGTGGTGGATTGACTTTGCATGGAGCAGAATGGGATGCAATGAAAAAGTTCTGAATATGGAGTTGATTGAGTTGAAACGTTTACTTGGCATGACAAGTAAGCATGTATGCATTAAAATTTCATTTTGAGATGTCAAAGATTACTAAAATTTTTGAATTTATTATAGGATACAATAATTAGTGCAATCTGCAATATATCAGCATCTCAGCAATAGGTTATAAAGATCATGTATAATTGATTGTCTCTCTTCCATTATGCTAAACAAAATGATTTTTTGCATGTGTTAACAGTTGGTGTGCTATAATCCAACCAATTAATAATGGCTATTTCTTAAAAAATTTAATCACCACCTCAACTTCCATTAAAGGAATACTAGCACTTCCTCCAGAACATGTTGAAATGATTCTGGAACATGGAGATGACATTAAAGAATTATCATTTTTGGTAGAATATCAAACCCCATATTGAATTCACATCAGTGTTTCAGATGTGGAGGGAAAACATTGGTGTGTTCCTGAATCAGTGGTTTCACTTGATAATAATTCTAGCAGCCATACTAATAGTAGCAAAAGTAATGAAACCATTGATAACAACAATAAAGACACAGAAAAAATTTTCTTAAATATTCAGTCCAGCTGTGGAAAAAAACTTTTCTTTCACCATTTTCATCAAAATTGTTTGAGCATTATTGTACCCATTTGTTGATGATTCTACAACATTAACAAAGTCCTCTAAATCATCAACTTCAGAATTTTTAAGTTTCAAAAAACCATCAGGACTAAATTTGGTATGGCCAGCTACCATAAAAGAATATGTAATTCTTTTATGTTTACCTGTTAACACTCTCCAGGCCAAATATTGAATCATTGCATTGTTTTTATTTTGACCAGAACAATTATCTGCATGAATTATTATTTCTTCTTCACCAAGTCTATGTTGTTCAAAATAATTATGAACTAAAGAAATCACAGCATCAGCTCCTTTACCAATATACTGTGATTCTTCTATAAGATAATTAATCTAAATAAATAATAATTATAGTTATTATATACTGTAGTTTAAAGAGTTGATTAAAAGAATTATTATTTCACCTGTCTGGGTCTAAAATCTTCACAAATGCCAAATACTAGAACTTTATATAAAGATTTAAAATATCAACTTGACTATTATTTATAATAATAATAGCACAATTTAAAATCAATTACCTTTGAAAAAATTATATATAAATAAAATAATATTGCATACCACTTGTTGTGAAGAATATGGGATATGAACTTGTTCTGCAAAATCCCATGAAATGTGAAGTTTAATATTAAGTGAATTTGTAGATCTAGTGAGATTTGAATCTTGATTTAACTTTTCAAATGCTTCCTTTGCATTTTTTATGCAATCTCTAAAAAATCAACATATAAATTTAGCAAAAATCTTTAACAAAAAAAAAAAGAAAAAAAATATACCATGATTGATACCTATAATATTCACGTTCCTTCATTGTCCATGTAATATGATCATTCCATTCTCTAACCTTCATTTCCTTTTCTTCTTCCATCCAACAATTTGCATTGAACCTATGTTCTTTGCAAATATGACATAAATCACTTCTTGGAGTAAGAAATTTAATTTCTGGAAGATATGTATGCCATATTCTTTGAAATGTTCTATTTGAGACATATATTTCAGAATTTTCTTCAACTGCATCAATAAAATATTTAAATACAGTAGTGTGATTTTCATCTGCTGGGAGAAATATAATAGGCTTTGTGTCTTTTTTAAATTTTCTTCCTATAATAAATTTTACATTAATTAATTATTTATAAACTTTTCTTTTTCAAATTTAAATAATTTATATTTACCTGGAGATGGGAGTCCATTTGTATTAGAATAATTTAATATAAATTTAATAATCTGCAAAACCCCATCAAATGATACTGCTTTATTACCTACTTTTCCTGTTAAAGAATGTGTTCTTGGCTGTATATCAAACTCATTAAAATGATTTCTAACATTTCCCCATCTTCTTTTACCTATACCATAATACCCATGAATGCAGTCAGACAAATTTCAACTCCTCCAAAAGAACAAACATTTGCCAATCTTCTCCTTTTTTCTCCTCTAGTAGTTATTTCATTTCTCAAACTAGCAGAAAGAAAACCTTTTAAAAAAATATCTTGTTCAGTTTTTTTAAGATCAAGAAAACATTTATATCTAGTTTTAACATCATTAAAATTTAAATTCATTTTCAAGCATTTTTTTTGACAACAATCTCTTTCTAGCAAATTTGCTACATAATGGTTGATATCATGATCTATTTCTATTTGCTCTTCAGAGTCAAATAATTTGGTCATCCATTATTTTATTTTTATTGTATATATTTTTGAATTTTTCTAATTGTTCTTTAGACAACATTTCCATTCCATAATCACTTTCTTCTGCTTCACAACTGTCTTCTTCTTCATCATGACTTATCTCTGTTTCATCAACTATTTCTTCATTTTTGTTAATAATTAAATTAGGCATATAACTTGTTTTCAAATTAGCAAAAGATTCTTCTAAGTCAATTAAATTAGGATGTGTCTCAGTAAAAATATTGTTAAAAAATAAATGTGTAGAAGTCATTTTTTAAATATCAGATTCAATTGTTTGTGTTGTGAAAAAGCAAATTTTAGATGATAAAATTTTATTTGTTTTTATTTTCCATTTAATAAAAATAATAATAATAATAACAAAAAAAATTTTTAATAAATTCGTGTTACATGATTTAAACTAATTCCGGATTTAGGTTTATCATTACTTGTTTTAGTATAATACCAATTTGTTGGTTCTTGTACATCTTGAAGTTTTCTTTAATTATCTCGAAATTTTATTAAGAAGCTAAAATTAATCCTTGTAGTAAATTACACATAGGAGTGTTGTTAACTCAAAATCACGATTTTGGTAGTTATCCCCTTTTCTATTGTCCATGCCCCATATATCTAATAATAATGTAATTGAAAGAGCCATTGACATAAACACTATTGCAGAGCCATCCTTGAAGAAGAGGGATAAAGAAGTAAAGGATATACAATTTTTTTTATATTTATTGTGTTATGATTTTATTTCTAATGAAAATCCTATCTTTAGAATGATGATAAGGTTTTAAAATGGACAAAGACTGATTCAAATTATAATGAGGACAAGACAGATTTGGATTTGGATGAGATAGACTATAACAATTGCAATATTGACCCAAACATTGAATTATTGGAGAAACAGATACTGGTACAAAGTATCCTGATAAAGACAGAACATTAGAATTGGTTTCAGGAATCCCATTGAGAAAGATAAAAATAGACATTAAAAGGTTTCTGTTTTTTGTTGGGTAATAACACATCTTCATTCTGCTTTCTTTTCTTAGTGTTTATTATTTTTCTTTCTTCTTGGTAAATTTCATAGGTAATCCTTTCTTTATCTAAATATGTTTGTAAGGATTTAGTATCTGCTTGTAAATGAGTTTCATCATTAACTAGTTTTATATAGGTATCATTCTATATATCACAAATGGGATATCATAAAACTGATAATTATGATCACATTATAAAATCTAAATTTTGATCCCTGAAATTTTTGGTAATACCAATGTTCATTTTGTCTGGTATGCCCCATTTATTCACTCATGCCTAATAATACTACAGGAAAGAGAAAACATTCAAGTCAAGCTAGAAAGATTCATCGTGAACAAACCTTAAAAGAAATAAATGAATTAGAAGAAAAATGCCAAAGTTTGGTTATTGTCAAAAAAACATTTACCATCTAATTAATTGTAGAATTATACTAAGTTACTTTAAAAAAATTTAGAATGTCGAAGCCAGCTTTCAAAAGTTCAATGAACTACCAATTTCACCTCCTACGCTTGAGGGCTTACAGCAAGCAAACTTTATAGAAATGACTGAAATTCAGCAAAAAGCAATTCCACTTGCATTAAAAGGAAAAGATATATTAGGAGCAGCTAAAACCGGCAGTGGTAAAACTCTGGCTTTCCTCATTCCGGTAAATCAAACACTTTATCTTTTTGTCAAAAATCGATAGAGAATTATTTAACTAATAAAAAAAATTAATAGACATGTTTATTAATTTATAAATCAATTAATATTTAAAAGCTGATTGAACTACTATATAGAAACAAATGGACCCAATTAGATGGATTGGGTGCTCTTGTTATAGCACCAACACGAGAATTAGTTAGTAACAATTCTAAATATTTTGTTTTCTCATTTTCAATTTTATACAATAAATATATAATTGAATCGTTTAGGCAGTTCAGATATTTGAAGTATTACGTAAAATTGGAAATAGGCATTTTTTGTCGGCAGGTCTTATTATCGGTGGAAAGGATGTACAAATTGAACAAGAACGTATTAATAGAATGAACATATTAATATGTACACCTGGACGTTTATTACAGCATATGGATCAGACAGCATATTTTGAATGCTCTAATTTACAAATTTTAGGTAGTTAATAAGACATTTATAATAAGATATAATATAATGTAGTATAATAATTAGTTCATTGATTCATTCATTTATTTAGTTTTTCTAAAAAAATTTTGATTGAAATAAATAGTTTTAGATGAGGCAGATCGAATACTTGATATGGGATTTCAGAAAACTATTAATGCAATTATTGAAAATTTACCTAAAAAACGTCAAACTTTATTATTTTCTGCAACTCAAACAAATTCTGTTGATGATTTGGCGCGATTAAGCTTACAGGTACATGTATAAAATATATTTACGCGTTCCAGTCAATATTTATTGATTTTCTTAATAAAATTTTATCAGTCATATATTTATTTATATATTTGTTTCTGATTAAAGAATCCAAAATATGTCGCTGTCCATGAGAATTCAGAACATAGCACACCACAAGATTTATATCAACATTATTTAGTATGTGATTTGACGGAAAAACTAGACATTTTATTTTCATTTATCAAATCACATTTACAAGTAAAAGCTGTAGTATTTTTATCAAGTTGTAAACAGGCTAGTATTAATGATTTAAAAAATCACACACACATATATATTTGTTATTTCATCAAATTTATTTTTTGATAATAACGATGATGAACATTTATCAGGTTCGATTTGTTTTTGAAACTTTTTGTAAATTACATCCAGGAGTTCCATTACTTCATCTACACGGAAAACAAAAACAAACTAAACGAGTAGAAATATTTAATAAATTTTCAGCCATGAAAACGGCGTATTTATTTGCCACTGATATCGCGGCTAGAGGATTAGATATTCCAGCTGTTGACTGGGTTATACAGGTGGACGCGCCAGAAAGTGCAGACACTTATATTCATAGAGTAGGACGTACCGCAAGATATGATGCTTCAGGACATGGGTTATTGTTTTTACTTCCGTCGGAAGAACAAGGAATGAAAGAAGTTTTGAAAAAGAAAAAAGTTCCAATTGAACAAATTCAAGTGAAGTCTAATAGAATGACGAGCATACAGAAACAATTGCAGTTTTTATGTTTTAAAGATTCTGAAATTAAATATCTTGGACAAAAGGTGCTTAAAAATTTTCTGGTTTAATTTATTTTTTTAAAAACAATTGGTTGATACGACAATTATTCTATATTAGGCATTTATTTCTTATATGCGATCTGTTTACTTACAAAGTGATAAGTCAATATTTAAAGTTGGAGAATTGCCAGCTGAAAAATTTGCAGCATCTCTTGGATTACCAGGAACTCCAAAAATCAAATTTATCAAGGTGACTGAAACCTTAAATAAATTTGTATAGATAAATTCAAATTGATGATGAGCATTTTTTTAATTTATTAATTTATTAAGAAATCACAAGCAAAAAATGCAATACGTCAAAAACCCAGGGAATTTGAAGAAGATGAGGGTGGATCGAGTTCAAGTGACGAAGAGAAGGATGATGATAATAATAATCGTAACATAGATCATGAAGATGATAAAGTTATAGGAGGGGATGATGATGATGAATTTATTACTCTTAAACGTACAAATCACGAGCTTCCAAAGGAATTAGAAAATCCAGTATATATTATTTTTTTGATGTCTACTAATTATGTTTTATATATATATATATATATATATACATCTAAATTGATTTATGCAATAATTAATTATCTAGGATTATGAAAATCTCTCGAAACGTAAGTTGAAGGTAGCCAAATCCAAGAAATTATCAATCAAGAATGCGCCAAAAGGTGAAAAACTGGTGTTTGATGAAGATGGAAATGTAAATTTGTTTATTTGTTTATTTGTTCTATTTGTTTTATTTTAATATAGAAAAATATTAATATTTGAAACCTTAATTAAATAGCCACATCGAATCTATGAGTTGCGAGATGAAAAGGAATTCCACGCAGCGGGACCTTTAATTGTTCAAAAACAAAAATTCTTAAGCAAGGAATTAGAAATGATGGCATTAGAGGATCAAATGGACAAGGTGACTGCAAAAGAAAAAAAGATTGAAATGAAATTAAAGAAAAAAGCTAAATTATCAGTTGAAATTGATTAATAAAAAAATCAAAGTGCGTGTATTTTATTTATTATTGAAATTGATATTTTTGATATTTTGAATATGATAATATTAAGCTTTTGGGTTATTGTGAAATCTTCAAATCTTTAATTAAAACAATAAAAGCAATAGATGGTGGTGTTTGAGTTGGTGATGAATTTGATTGGGGTGGTTGATTATTACTTTGAGTTGGTGATTGAGTTGCTCGAGTGAAAGTTGTAGTTGTTTGTGATGTTGTTGACACTACACTTAATATTACGTGTGGATTATTGTCAGCGTATGGTGGCGATTTGGATGTACGGGTGCAGGATAATATCTGCATCCAACGCTAACCTTGATTATAGGATTCAGATTTGATAGTTTTTCTTCTTCTACAAACACACAGTTGCTGCTCTTTATGAACCCCTCATAGCTGTGAATTTTTTCTGGTGGCGAAGGTCCCCGCATCTTAGGAGACTTTGGACAAGTGAGAGGCTTTAACACTCTCCTTGACGACAACGCAATTAATAAATTACAGAGCCACCCCTCCTCCTCTCGAAATTTAATACATCGGGGGGTTAGTCCAATGTACGCTGGTGATTTTTAATATAAAAAATTTGTAACACATCACTTTGGGGGGTTAACATAATAATAAGGGGCGTTCAAAGTTGTTCCGTTCCTGTTCCTAGTTTACAGGACCTGGATCAACTTTAGCAGAAAATTTCCGATATACAGTGCAGAAGCTCTATAATAGGAACAAATGTTGCCTTTTTTTAAAAGGGTGTAGATCACCCAAAAAAAAT